TTAAACCTCCTGGTGATGTGTCCAGAGGGGACTGAAGAATGGCTGCAGGAAGGAAGGAGGATCAAAGCCAACAAGGCCTGGGTGGGTGACAGGAGCCAGCAGGGACAAGGCCTCCAGCGTGGGGCAGAGTTGGAGGCCAAAGCAGATGGCTGGCCCAAGGTGCGTGTTTATTGCCCCTGTGGGTTGACCTGCTGGAAAGCAGCTCCACAGAGAGCGATTTGGGAGTCCTGGCTGACAGCAGGTTAACCATGAGTCACCAATGTGCCCTTGTGGCCAAGAAGGCCAATGGGATCCTGGCCTGCATCAGGAGGAGCATTGCCAGCAGGTCGAGGGAGGGGATCCTGCCCCTCTACTCAGCTCTGGTGAGGCCGCACCTGGAGCATTGGGTGCAGTTCTGGGCTCCCTAGTACCAGGAGGACGTTGAGCTTCTAGAGAGGGTCCAGCGTAGACCGACAAAGATGTTTAAGGGACTGGAGCATTTGTCATATGAGGAAAGACTAAGCGAGCTGGGCCTGTTTAGTCTGGAGAAATGAAGGTTGAGAGTAGATTTGATCAACATTTTCAAGTACCTGAGGGGTGACTGAAAGGAAGATGGAGCCAGGCTCTTCTCTGTGGTAGCTGGTGACAGGACGAGGGGTAACGGGTGTATGTTGAAACACAGGAAGTTCCACCTCCATGTGAGGAAGAACTTTCCTGTGAGGGTGACAGAGCCCTGGAACAGGCTGCCCGGAGAGGTTGTGGAGTCTCCTTCTCTGGAGATCTTCCAAACCCACCTGGATGCCACCCTGTGCCACGTGCTCTAGGTGTCCCTGCTGGAGCAGGGGGTTGGACTAGATGCTCTCCAGAGGTCTCTTCCAACCTCAGCCATCCTGTGATGCTGTGACAAGGGGACAGCTGTCATGGCGAGCAGTGCTGCTTCCCGGAGCTGTTTTCAGTAGCTTGGTACTCCCTCCCAGGTACTTTTTGCCACCCTGAGCGGTCTCTCTCCACTTCTACCAGCAGAAAGTAGAATCTCGTTTTTCTCCCTAGGCAGAGCCAGCTGCCAGACTCTCCACCGGACTCGGGCTCAGAGCCGTGCTCTCCACCACAGCTCAAGAGTAGGTGGCAAGAGATCTGCCTCTCCCGAGATGGCGGGCAGCAACTCTCCTCTCCGCTTAACCTCCCTGCCTCCTTGCTCCTTGCAGCCCCGCGGTACGATGCTCCGTGGCCCTCTGGGCTGCAGCTGCCGCCCCCGTTCCCCTCCACTGGGGCAGCCAGCATGGTGGCCTGCAAGTTCCCGGAGACGTTCCCGGACCCTGGAACAAGCGGGCATCCCTGTGGCGGCATCCCCCAAGGCTGCTCCCTGAAGATGGAGACCGCTGCGGCGCCTTGGGATAACTCCACGTCCTCTGGCAGCTTGAGTTTCAATTACTCGTGTTTTCAGCCAAACATGCCTCAGACTTCTGGGTAAAGGATGAAATGTTTATATGGGAGATGAGGCAGATAACAGAACCTGGAAAAAGTCTAGTGTAAAATCCCTGTGGGTGCAGGATTTTCCACAGGATGGCAGCGTTTAGACATTTTTGGGTCACTTGTGGTTGAGTGTTCTTCAATCCTCGTGATACAAATTAAGGTTAAACTGAGTTGAAATAGATTTAAGTGTAGAAAAGCTTGCAAGTCTGAAGAGGGACCAGCTATGTAACTAAGTTATAAAAAAGCAATTTAGATTTTTTGCGACATGTATTGCAGAGGTTTGTCCATAAATGTCTTCTAAGTATTTCAACATGAGAGGAAGAAGAAGAACTTGCCTTATCCATGTAACCAAGTGAAATGGTATTCATATACCATCTGCTATATTTACCTACTTGCATGTTCTGGATGCTTAATTATTTAAAAAAAAAAAAAAGAAAGAAAGAAAAAAAAGAAAGTATTACCAGGAAATGCAAGTGTCTAACCATGATACCTAATAAGAATGTTTTGGTTAATCCAGGCCACATGGGAATCTCTCTGGTTGTTGGGAGAGATGATAAATTTGTTGGTGTTGGTCTTGGAGCCGCAGGTCTCCTCCTTCTGTATAGAGCTTAATTATGTGCTGCGCAAGTAATGTGGGTTTTATCCAAGCCCTGGGTTTCTATGTGAATCTATGAAGCTATCTAGTGGGTTTTTTTTTTTTTTTTTTTGTCGTCTTGTTTGTTTTCTAGAAGAAAGTGGCAGTTTTTCAGAAACAAATAACTTTTTGATACTCAAGTTTAGGGAAGTAGTGATAGGAAATACTGCTTGGATTAATGTGAAATTTTTGAGCAAACCCAGGGAAAGGTTAAGGACTGATGTACTGGGTAGGCTTTTCCTCTGCTTGTGAAAAAAAACCCCTAGTTTTGGTACAGGCTGGGCCTGACTGGCTGGAGTTTTGAATTGCATTTTTCCACGTTCAGGCAGAGTGATCAGATCTGAGGATATTCTAGGTTACGTTTTGTAAGACCAAAACTTTGAAATTAAGCTATTTTTCCTTTGGAAACGAGCAGTTTTTGACATATGAGATTCTGAGAAAGGGGAGAGCCATTTCCTACCATTGTACCTAGAGATCCATGTGTTAAGTTTAACTCCTAATGGTCTTTCTTCATTCCTCCTAATGGTTTCTTCAATGAGAAGGAAAGAGAGCTCACCCTCAGTGTAGAAAAATTATTCAAGATAAAGCTGTTGTTTTACTGCAAATGTTAGAAAACAATAAATCCCTATCTCATATTGTGTGACTTTTTTTTTTCTTTTTAGAGATTATATGGAGCAAAAAAAACATTTATTGGAAGGAAATAGTCCATAAATCTGTTTAAAAGGCAGCCCCAAACAATCAAAATTTGAGTGCTAGTACAATTAGAATGAGATGGCTGGGTTTTCTCTTGTAGTAATTCTGTAATATCCATATTTAAATGAGTAAAATAACATGTTTTTTAAAAAAGTATTTCTGCAGCATCAGCAAAAAAAAGGAAATTCTCACAATTACTGGGAGATGCCACTGATTCTCCGGTATGGAGCAACAACCCCAGGCAAGGTAAGCAAATAAGCAGTGGTGTGAAGAAGAATTTTTTTGTTTCCTGCAATGGACAAGTAAACATTTTAAAAGCAGAGTTCTTTGTGGTTGTGAAAAGGTAGCAATATCAACAGCTGGTGCTCTGCTATTGGGTGTGGACCAATTTTTCTTTACCATGTTTTCAAAAACAAAGAATTTGGTATAATTAGAAAAGGGAGGTGCAATGTTAGAGGTTTGCACTCCCCAGATACTCTCCAGCCAAAATACGCTGCCCTTCCTCGAACAGGAGCCTGCTGCACACAGATTAGGCAGCTGCTGACTTGCTTAGTAATAAATTGACGGGGCAAAGGAAACATCTTGGGTCAGCTTAATAGGGAATTAATGTAGTGGATGAGCAAACATATGTCAGCTTTCTTGTCTGCTTTATCAACTTTGTATTTTCTCTGTGAAGTGTCTCCATATGTTAGGTTGGTAAAAGCTATATGTTCCTTCCCACACTCGCAAACTGAGTTCATCAAAATAAAAATGTCAAGGCTATACTAATGGCTATAGATTAAAAAAGCTTGCTGGGAACGGACAGGAACAGATCAGCTTCTGTGGTGCGTGTGAATGAAGAGTCATAATGAACAACTTGTAATGAGGAATCTTAGCCTTGTCTGCTAGTGGAAAATATGAATTGCTTGTCATTTCTTCAGTTATTTCTAAGCATTAAATTAATCTTTTAGTAGGTTCCTTTGATGGCTAGCAAGTGGGTTTACTAGATTATCTTTCCTTTAAAATTTACTTGATTGTGGCTGATCCTCCAAGTCTGCTGTTGCTGAAAAGAGAAGGCAAGCAGGTCCAGAGGAAGCGCTTCTCTATCTATTTATGGTTGTTGCTGTCTTCAGTACCAAAATATGCTTTCTTCCTACAGTTCATTTATCTGTCTCTCTTGTCACATTCTCTTTCGTCTTCATGAAATTTGTAATGTAATATAATAGTCAGAAAACATTAACAGCTTAGCCAGCTGCAGTGATGAATGTAGCTGTTATGGAAGTTTCTCTCTCCTACTCTCAAGTGAAGTACCTTGTTGGAGTAGTGTTTCATTTAGTCCTCTAGTGCATAGAATAGAAAACATCAGTAATTCTTTTGCTTAAGTTTTGTTGCGGTGTTGCAGTTTTACAATAAAATGCTTAGTTTGCAACTGTGCTTTTTGTTTTTTTTTTTTTCCCCCAGACTGCCCACCCTTTTGGAGAGAATAAAAAAAGGAAGCACTCCTTGTGTAATGTTTTGCAAATCAGGAAAGCTAAAAGATTTGTCTTCTAGGGCAAGGGAATATAATATTCTTCTGGAATAGCTGTAAAGGAAAATCAGATTTAAATATGCATGCCATGTCTAATAGGGGAGTGTGTGTGTGTATGTACATATGTTTAATAATAGCTAACAACTGGTAATATATTGGGTGATAAGATAATTGCCAAATACATTAGGTAATAAGGTAATACATGACTTTTCCCGATCTCTCTCCAGCAACAGTTAAGGACTGTGCTCTTGAAGTGCAAGAATATGACAGTGATGGACAGAACGTGGCTTTGGACAAATGCTGCCAGGCTCTAACGTGGCAACCGTACCAAACTTCTCAGTGGAGCAACTTACTTAACTCCGATTATGAAAAACTGTAAGCACTGATGTTTGCACTTGAATTTTGTTTTTTTTTTGGCCAGTATTGTTGTTGTACAAAAATCATCTAGATGTTTTAATTCATTCAACCTATAAAGAGCAAAAAAGTTCTGAAAAGATGAGCTCTGAAAAGCCATCCTCAGTGGTTGCATTAATGGGTAATGGAAATTCACTCTTCATGTAAGATATATCTTATCGTGTTGTTTCAGAATTATTGATCACTGAAATCAGATGACTGGAAGAATTGTTGGAATGGTGAATTCCCTAGTCTTTTAAAAGATCTTTTGATACCTTTCTTGTCTGCTGTGAATCATAAAGATAGAATACTCTGTCTCTAAGTGACAAATTAATCATTTGAATAAATGGAATAGGATTTCTTTATTTGGGGTAGGACAGACAACTTCATAAAAGAGAGTTTTGTAGTGACCTGGTGAAAGGATCAGCATCAAGAGCTTTACTTGTAGCTTGAGTAAAATGTTATTCACATTTTAACCTCAGCAGTTTCTGCAGAAATCCTTGGTATAGAACAAAACAGGATGTCTTGCTGTCTGCAGTGTGAGTTCAGCTCTGTTATTTATAGCAGTGCCATAAGGGGTGCTTGAATACACTAAAATGTTTAGTTGTGCTTTTGGGTACGCAAAGTTATTTTATATCAGGTTTGTACATGAGAATTGTGTGAACTCCCGCGGCTTCCCAAACACCTCCTGTGAATTATGGTACACTTGCTGTGTATTCAGAGTTTTATACCTCTGGGAACCTAAAAAGAAAATGCCTGTAGCATTGGTGATTGTGAAGATGTATTTCCACTCCCATTTTTACCAGTAAAAATCCATTGTATTTTCAATCCGCAGAAAAAGTAGGAATCTGTTCTTATGGTTGCTATTCTTCCCTCTTGCTTTCATAGACCCGCCATAGTTTATCACATTGCCACAGACAAAGGATTTAATTTTTCAATAACAGATGATGCCTTTGTGTGCCAGAAGAAGAACCATTTCCAGATCACAGTTCATATTGGAATCCCTGGAAATCCAAAATATGTCAAAACTCTGCTGGGGTTGAAACCAATAGAAAAGTTTTACTTGAAAGCTTTTGGAATAAAGGCAAGTATTTCCCTTCTCAGTGCCTCTCACTTTTCGTTAAGATTATCTATGGAATAAGGTAAATAATTGAAATTAACTCTTTTTCTTAATGATTTTGACCAAGAACTGACCAAAGACAACATTTAAAGTCACCTGCTATGTGGAACTCTTTAGCAGAGTGATGTTTTTATGGATGCCTGTGCTGATCCATGCTTAAGAGATGTCATGCTTGCCTGTCTTATGGTTTCACCAGCTTCCCTCTCACTGCCTGAAATGTTGTCCATATGTGGACAGTGCAGTGCTGTCAGTTGGTTTGTAAATCAAAAGATGATTTGGAAAAAAATCACAAAGCAAAGAAGAATCAAATCTGTTTTACCTAAACAATTCAGAAGTAGAAAACCAACAAAATTTGCCCATTTCTTCTTTCCAGGTTTTCATTTTCCTTCTAGGAACCAATTCCTTTCCTTCCAAGCAGGATCCACAATCTCACCTATGGAGAAGTACTGAGAAATTTCCTTCCTTCTGAAAGATTTTCTCAGGTTTCCTACTTGCTGTTGAAATTTAGTGATCCAAAGAATACATTTGTAGATATGGTACAAGGCAGCTAGTACGAGTTTTACCTAGTGCTTTCTAAAACATTAATGTAGAAGAAATTAGTGAATATTACTCTCATGTGTTTCTTTTTGAATCAAAGTGCTACTTGCTAGCATTCAAGAAATGTCCAGATGTTTACATTAAAGTAACTTGCAGAACTGCCTTGCATAGACTCAATTATATACATATATGTATATAAAATATCTACATTTACGCCTTGGGAGATAGATTCAGGAAGTTATATCTCTTTTGAAAATTCTTGTGTGACTTTTCCTTTGATATTTATTTGTTTTTATTATTTTTCCCCAATTTCTGGCCTCAGAATGACAGCATTTTAGAGCAGATGGAAGAAATCACTGATAAGGTATCAATTCCCAGGTTAGTTTCTATGCAGGTCCACAAGAAATGAAGGTGATTCCACTGTTTCTGACATAATCTGGCAAATAGTTTCTACTGCAAATTCATTTGTATGAAAGTGTAACATTCTTGTCATTTTTGAAAACTTCCCTTTCTTTGTAGGTGGAAGCTCCAGGTCAAACAATAGCTATTGAACAGTCTCAGTCAGATCGAAGCAAAAAAACTTTCCATCCTGTTAAGTAAGCATTTTGAAAATTTTACTCTGCTTTAATACTAGATTTGGCTTATTTTATTTTATTTTATTTTATTTTACTTTATTTTATTTTACTTTATTTTATTTTATTTTATTTTATTTTATTTTATTTTATTTTATTTTATTTTATTTTATTTTATTTTTACTGGGAACTCATAGTAGCTGTAAGCCAATCTTCTGAACCATATTCAGATTCCACTCTAGGTATCAATCATATATATCAAATCAAATATATACCTGCTCTCCAATATTCCAAAATATGTATCTTCAGCTGACAGCATTGCTATATGGTGTTTAGAGCTGGATGGCAGGTGCGTTTTTTTCATGGGTGATAATGGTGGTGTTTTTTTCATTTATTCCAGATGGGAATACTGTAGGAGGAGTGTTGAATTCACCACGCGAACTGTTTAATCACAATATTAATCACTTGTGATAGTGGTGCCACTAGGTATTTCAGATGTAGTTCTGTGTTTATACTTCAAGAAACACAAATTTGATAGAAAATAGTTCAAAAAGTAAAATTTACTACTCTAGTATGTAAATTCAGAGCCATAATAGGCATTATTGCCCATGGAAAGCCACAAGTATGTATGATATTGACTCAGACTCAGAAACACAAGACAGCTCCTACTAAGAGCATTTTCCCACTCCTGGTCTCTTGCTTGTTTATTTCCTTGAAATAGTCACTAGGATGGATAAACATGACTCGAGTGTTTTGGTTGAGAATTGTAAAAGAAAAAAAGAAATGCATTGCATTGGTATAAGCCAAGGTTATTGAATTTTTATTGGGTCTCCTCTGTTGCATTTTCATTGTCAATATGTTTTTTAATTAAGTTAGTGAGCGTGAAGAAATCTGAACAGAGTCTAGTAGATCTCCAGATGAGAGATGTTGTTTGTTGCCTTTTCTGTTTTAGAATTGATCTTCCAGGGGACCAGATAATCAAAGTAACGCTGGGAAGGTTGCATTTTAGTGAAACAACAGCAAATAATATGCGAAAAAAAGGAAAACCTAATCCTGACCAAAGGTATCTAGTTGGCCTGTGTATGTAAAGGGAAAATGGGAACATCTAGTTTTGAATGGGGCTGATGTCTGGGAAAAACGTCGATATTGTCAATTCCTGTGATTTTTATCGCAATTTCTGTGATACTTGGTGTCTGCTTAAAAGCCTTTTGCTTGTATCAAGTGACGATATGAAAAAGAAAAGTAAATGCCTCATGCTTAAAAGAGCTAAAAGAGAGTTAAAGATTATTTCAGGAAGCCATAACCAGAATGTTGGTTTATAGATTAGGAAATCAGGAAGTAAATGAAACAAAAAAACGTTTTACCTCTGAGAGGGATCTTCACCTTTAAGTCCTTATTACTTAAGCTTGTCAAAATCACTGAAATCTATGTTGACTTCTCAGTGACTTTTGGGGGTTGAATGGGCATATTGCTTGAGAGTGGAGGAAATGTTTTTCTTTTATATTGTAGTTTATTTTAAAATGGTTCTGAACATCTTTTTTTGTGTCAATAATAGACACTGTATTGAAAACACTTAAAGTGTGATGAGACGTTGTTTCAATTATCTTGATTAAACCCCTTTAAAATTAGATACTTCATGCTGGTGGTTGGACTGTATGCGCTCTCTCAGGACCAATTCTACTTACTGTCTGCACACATTTCTGAAAGGATCATTGTGAGGGTAGGTAGAAAATACGTTGCTTTCACATGACCAATATTAACTGTTTTGTTATTCACGGGAGACAGTTGAGAGGTACTTGGGCAGTGAAAATAAATATAAATTCAAAAAGCTTGAAAAAAAATCTGTTGGATAATGAATCCATTGTTTGTTATCTTCTCATTATAAGAATTTCACTGTGTTAAAAATAAAGTTATAGAAAGCTTTAAAAATGAAGGAAAAAAACCCTCTTGATTTGAATTTCAGTACAAACTACCTTCAGTCTGGGGTTGTTTAGAGCTGCAATAAATTATTGAATCTGCCAGGAAACACACACATGCTTTAATTATCTGAATCCTTAATTTGAAGGAGGAGATGAATGGAAAAAAAATTAAAAAAGGCAAAAAAGGTCAAGAGGGTGTAGTAGGGTAAGATTTATTGCTTGAATTGCTCAGTACTTGAGATTTTGGCTGATAATAATAATAAATATTGCAAAAAATCAAGAGTGTTCCACACTTGTCCTAACGGCATTTGGTTCTGAATGCCCCACTCCACATTTCCCTCTTAGCTCTAAGCATTTGCATAAAGCCGGGGCTTACAGTGAGAAGAGGCAAAAAGAGTGGCACAGTGAAGCTGTGGCCCTGGGCATAATTTGGGGGCATTTTAGCAGTGCTTTTCTCCCCCTGGGCTGCAGGGGGAAACCTCCTCCCCGTGGCTGTGCTGAGGTGATAGAGGTCTGTGGGTGATGGAGCAGGCGTACAAAAAAAACTTCAGGCCAGCAAAATTGCACCTCTTCTGAGACCGTCGGTGCCCAGCAGATGCTTTGAAGCTGGTGAAAGTGTAGGGGGGAAGGGAAAAGGGAGCTCTTCCTGGCTCCCGTCTCGCTCCCCTTTTTATTCTCGTTCTCATTGCGGAGCACAAGACAAGTCCCTTCCACAAGCGGTTTGCAGTTAGCTTTGTAACTCAGAAAGTAGGTAATGTAGTTGGGTTGCATTATTGGGTTTCTTCTTTTTTTTTTCTCTCTTTCTTTTTTTTCTTTTTCTTTTTTTTTCATTTATTAGTCTTTAAGGGTTATTTCTAGAAACTTACAGTCCGCATTGCTTATAGAATACGCTCTTTTAGGAGATCAGGACCTGTGAATTCAGTCTAAGATCCCCCTTGATCTGTTCAGCACAGGCCCTGAAAAAGCTTGTGAAACAGCATTCAAAAAGAAAGAAACCAGTCCGGTCAAAGCATAGGCAAAAAATATTTTTGAACCACATGTGTTTAACCTCTGGCTTGTTTTCTGTTTTCTAATTTCCAGCCCTTAGAAAAAGCAAGGCTCAGCTAAAACTTGCTGGCAGATCAAGAATGATTACATGGCATAATTTCAAACCTAAAATTTGGAAAGCTTTGCAGTTTGATGATTTAACTGAATGTTAAAGCATAATAGAATTCAAAGGGACTAGCAATGAAGCCAAGATTGCTTGTGCAGAAACAATCACTCAGAAATGACTCCAATCTGTTTTTTAATGCTGATGTATTAGAAAAGTTTATGAATGCAGTTTAAACATGAAAGATTTGGCATTTGGTTTTCATCAACAAAGGGGTTAAAGCATTAGGCACATCTATGTTATACAGTATGTTTAAATATATCTATTTTCAGGCATCTAACCCAGGGCAGTTTGAGAATGACAGTGATGTGCTGTGGCAACGAGGACATGTTCCAGACACAACGGTGTATCATGGTCGAGTAGGAATTAACACAGATGCACCAGACGAAGCTCTGGTTGTCTGTGGAAATGCAAAAGTTATGGGTAGGGTCATGCATCCATCTGACAGCCGAGCCAAACAGAATATCCGAGAGGTAAGGGCTGGGGAGTACTTAAGGCATTTCTATTTATTTGCTCTGCAGCATGTGTATGCCTCATTGTTCTGACACATGCAAAGTAGCTTCTTTATCCTGGGTTTGCTGAAATGCAGGGCTAAGGAAAAGAAGGCTACCCCTGTGCTCTACGCAGCCATCGCAGGCACTTTTGAAAAGGCAAACTATGGATTTTGGGGGTATCTGTGTAAATGGGAGCTGGAAACACAAATATGAGTAAATTCTGCAAAGGAGGAATAGAAGGACTCGGTATTTTCCACTGGGAAGACTGGCCAAGTGGGCCTGTCAGGCCTGCTGTTATGTCAGTGAGGTCCTTGATGCCATGGTAATTCTTAGTGCTTCAGTGTGTGAATCCTGGTCTTTGTGCAATTAGGTTGATACAAACGAGCAGCTGAGAAGAATAGCACAAATTAAGCTGGTGGAATATGACTATAAGCCTGAATTTGCCTCTGTTATGGGAATAAAAAACACCCGTGAAACAGGTATTCAGTCAGCTCTGTACTCATTTTTCAGTTGCTTCTCCTGTGCCACAGTGTATTTTAATGTCTTGAATTTCATCTCTTAAGAAACTACACATGTTCACTACTTTGAATTTCCATTTCTGTATACCATTGTGTTTCTTTTGTAAAACAAAATGACCAAAATTAAGCATTTCTAGTGTGTTTCTAGCTTCTGTTTCCTTTTTTAAAGATATAAGGGATTTTTTTTACATAAGTTGAATGAGACTGAAATATGTGAGCAGAAACTATTCTATTGTTACTAGGGAGAAATGTGATTTTTAAAGGTTTCTGTTTTGTTTTGTTTTTGTTTGGGGATAGAACAAAAAGTGAAATCATGGATTTTCCTACTACAGTAGGATTCTAGATCATTGGCCATAGCTGTAGCTTTTATGACGGGTACCTCAAAGAAAACATGAAACCACGGTCGCTACATGTCTAGATGTCAGTGCAATTCCTGACACAACCTTCTGTTATCTTGTGAACAGGAATTATAGCTCAGGAAGTGAAGGAGCTTTTACCTCAAGCCGTTACAGAAGTTGGAGATGTTGCTTGCGATGATGGAGAAAAAATAGAAAACTTCCTCATGGTTGATAAGGTATGAATCTGGGAAAGAAGGAGGATGTGTATGTTTAGACTCTTTCTTTCTTGTATGGAGCTATAAATATACACTATGTTTTATAATAAGATGTAGGTCTGCATATGTATTTATAAAAATAACCTTCAGAAAATCATTCAGGAAAATTGAACACCCAGATGTTGGTAAATGGATGAATCTTCTAATGATAGAATGTATTTACATTAGCATCTCTCCATTTTAATCATAAATGAACACAAAAAGAAGTTGTAAATGCAAGAAGTGTAAATCAACTTTGAATAAAGTTGGATAGAGATTTCACAAAATTGATCCAACAAGCGGGCCTCCTTTTTCATCTCAATGTTCAAATTAATAAAAAGTTTCAGAGGTAAACTAAGTCACGGTGGCATTTTCTTTGCAAATAAAAACTTCCATACTTTAATAACCCGTGTAATCCCATTATATCAAATGCAAATGCTAATTCTGTGCACTCTGTGGGAAATTTCTTTGACTATCTTAAATCCTTATCATGGCTTCAAAATCACACATCATGAAATACTGGTGGCACACACAGTAATGACTGTGGTGCTAGGCTGGAAGCAATGCCTGCTCTTGTCCTCTGCTCTCTCCTCTTCCGTGTCATGTAGGATGGGATGGTGAGAGGCTAAGCAGTCACAGAGACCAGGAACACAGGATTGCAGGGAGTGCTCATCCAAAGCCCTGCTCAGAGGGGCTCCTCTTGTCCCACTGGCAGCCGAATATGGGAAGAGAGGGATTTTACAGATTGGTAATTTTGTCCTGTTTGAACAATGTCGATAACATAAGCATTCATTATAGTCGTGCATTCTTTCTGCATTCTATGGAAAACAAAAGTTTACCCCACCGAACTTGGAGAAAGGATCTATGAAAAGTATTGCTTGTCTTATTTTCTTTTTATAGGCTACAAATAAGTTAAAATAACAGATTAAACATGCTAGGCTGTATTCCATACAAAGCAATCATGACTTAAACACACTGAATAAAGCTGTTGAGGGAACATGTTCTCAAACATCCCAATATTCATGTTATCCACAGCAGTGATTTCACTTTTCAGGAGACTAGCAGGAAAATAGGAGGCCACTGGTGGTAGCAAAAAAACTGCTCCATAAGCTTCTTGTTATGGTTTAGAGCTCTTACTCCAACTTATGTTTGTATTTTAAATATTCAATTAGTCCTTGCATAGGTGAATTCTGTGAATATCACTGGTTGTTGCCTCTGATTGATGACTACACTGTATCTTGCTTTTGTCATTGTTTTCCTTCTCAGGATCAGATCTTCATGGAGAACGTCGGCGCAGTAAAGCAGTTGTGTAAGCTGACCAACAACCTGGAAGTCAGAATAGAAGAACTGGAACAGTGGAATAGAAAACTGGCCACGCTGAAACGATTAAGCAGTTTAAAGTCAACACTCAGTGAAAAGAGTACAGTCAGGTACCACCATCCCAGGCTGGGATGTTCTCTCATTGTTGTCATGGAAACTGATAAAGCCTCTGTGGTAGAAGTGAAAATAGATTTTGCTTTACAGCAAAGTTCAGCTGTTTTTCAGCTGCTCTGTCTTTCAAATTACCATCATTTAAGTTGGCAAAAAAGGCAAATTCACACATTCTGCAAATCAGAAAAAAAAAAAAAAAGCGGCTTTTAAATTGCGATCGTTGTTATAATTTCTTCAGCCGTGTAAAGCAAAGGCAGACCACTTCCAGTTACAAGCCTGTCACTTAGAAATAGCTGCTAAGGTAAATTTGCAAAACTTCTTTCACAAAAAAACTCTATCTTCATTAGTGCTTCAGTAGAAAAATGATGAGCATTTCCTATTTCTAAACCATTTTTCCAGGTTTCCTTTGAAATCAAAAGTAGCTTATAAAAGCATTCATCAGACTGAGGTAGCTGGGAGGACTTTGTTCTTGAAAATGAATGTAATTGCTTTTCTGCCTTTCTCTTTTTAAATGTTTCAGTTGCAAAAGCATGTGATGTTGACCCCATCTCTTCTGCATTCAGTGTTTGCTGAAATGTTTGAATGTTAATGAGATCTTGTCTGTTACAGTAGGTATAGTCGAGCTACTAGTCTATTGACATCAAGAAAGTCAGTCCCGCTAAAATCCAGCAAGGTGAGAGAAATTAAATGTGTGAAATAAGTTTATGAGAGAGTCTTATATGTGTTAAAAAATTGGTGAAAGTTTTCATGTCTCTAAATAGAGAATCAAGTTCCTTTGCCAGAATTTTGTAGGCTTGTTCCAGGAGGCAGGCAGTAGAAAGCATGCACAAGACACTGTTCAGCCCTTTGCCTGTACATTTTGTGCATGAGGACAGATCTACATTGTGGTGTGGTGTGGTATGGTGTGGTATGGTGTGGTATGCAGGGGGAGACTATTAGGAAAGAAGTGTTGAATGTGGAAGTGTGTTCACATCACGCCCTTTTGCCCTGTGCAGAAATGTTGGTTTGGGTTCAGAAGTCTGCACAATGATAATTCTTTCTCAGCTATATATTCCTTGATGGTATCTTCTCCATGGCTTGCTGTTTGCATCTCCTATTTTGCATTGGATAATACTACTTTTTGGGTGTTTAGGGCCTTCTCAGGATGTCCTTGGTATATTTGGAGAACTACTCTTGTCCATATCCTATTAAATAAAGAGGGAATCTGCATCAAATTCGTTAGAGAATATATTTTGGCCTTCTTCAGGACAGTCTTCCTAGATTGCTTTGTTCTGTTCTTTAAGATAAAACATTGCTCCTTTGCCAGACTTACTCTTGCCAGTGCCCCCCAAGATTGCTTTTTTTTTTTTTCACACAACAGTCACCCTACTGTTCAGGTACAGAACAATTATATAAAATATAATATAGAAAATAATAGATCAGGTCCCCTTTATTCTATAAGGACAATAAAATATTCCAACATCATATTATTCTTGTTTAGAGTACCTTTACTATTAATCTTGTTTGGAAAGGGCCTTTCTTCTGTATTTATATCAGGCCCAGTTTAACGTTTGACTTATAGTGGAGCTATTCATCTTTTAGGTGTGGCCATCACTCACTGATTTCCTCATTTGATTTTAAAATACTTCAGGAGTGTGAAAAATGTCACGAAGAAAAGAGAACTGTTGTTTTTGTCCAGCTTTGCTGTGTAATCTTTGTGTCCCCAGACTACTAACATTGTGTAACATCTAAGTAAAGTATGACTTGTTAACAACAAGATTTGCTTAAAATCAAGCTAATGTAGTGTTTCTTAATCTACTGGTGGTAGCTTAGTTATATACTGTTTAAGCTGACCACACATTATTTTTCTTGCAGGTTTGTTTCTCAAAAAGAGAGTCTTGCTCCAGGAAGATTTTCCAAATAACTATAATAGCTTTAATTGCTGTTATGACACTATGGTAAGAACTAATTACAAGTTAACTTGTTTCTTTTTTCCCTTTTTAGTTGCCTCACTATGAAGACTGCATTTTATTCTTGGTTTTGGCTTGAAATAAATGGGCTTAAACTATTTTTTAGTGTTCCAGAAAGTGTATTTTCAAAAGTGAACTATGTCTTTTTTTCCTTCTCTTATCCATCTTACTCAAAGAACACAATATATTCAGTGACTCAAATGAATAATGCAAATGCCTGACAATGTGGCAAAGTCAAAATGCTTTTAGGAAAATGAAACATTTGCAGAGCACACGCAGGTCTAGTCTCTGTCAGTGTCACAAAGTATGAAGGTTTCTCGGTGACTTGTGCTACAGGTCCAAAGCAGGCTGCAGCAGACACATCCAGTAAGTGTGCAGGCACGGTTATGTAAGAGTGAGTCTGCTGGGTGCAAATGAAGACCTATGGCAGGCACACTCTGCTCAGGACTTCCAAATTGCTAATTTCTGTTTCTATTTGAAAAACCCGGAGTTCACAATCTCTTCATATACTGAATACTTTGAACTACTGTTATGGGTCTATTTACAAGGAAAAACTGTCCATGTTTTCTGCTTAATTTAGCTGTATACCTGACTTGTTAAAATCAGTGTGAACTTTCCCATTAGAAGAGCTATAATCAGCCAGTTAACTACTGCTTTGGGCCAAGATACTTTCAAAGTATTATGTATACTGTGTTTTATAAGGGAAAGATATTAATCTACACAATACTTCTCTTTCTACAGCGCTTTGACGATATCAACTCTTTATTTACTTAGCATTCATCAAAGACTTCTGGAAAAACAGCCCAATTCCAGGCAAGTAATTGAATTACCGTTGTTTTCTCTTTTGGTCTGCAACACTGCTGTCCATTTCTTAATGAATTGTTTTTCTTCTTCATCAGCAGTACTTCAAGTCCTGTTGCACTTTTTCCTTCTACTACTATAGCAGGTAGAGTATCTCTGCTGGTCTGCCTCCACATAGCAGGCTTACAGTTTCTGTGCTGTTACAGAAAGCCAATAGACAACACTTGCGAGAATTGTGTCTTTTTTTTTTTTCTTAATTTAGCTTTGCAGGAGAAAAGTACAACTTCTCAGAGCACTCAACCTGATGGGGTCACTGAGATCCCATCAGTGAATTTCTGTGACCTTTTGCCATGTGACAACATCTACTGTTGTCCAATTCATCGGTTTGAAAGTGAATCTCTAAGTTATGAGCAAACCAACATGGTAGAGCAAGGTAAGTAGAAAACATGAATTTCTGTGATTTACCATATGAGTAAAGATTGTATGAGAATCTAGGGGAAGGGGCAGGGAGATATTTAGCTTCCTAAGAAAGTGCATAGTCTAGAGGGTTTCAAAAGTCTTGATATAACTAATAGTCACTACAGTTAATATCTCTTGAAAATTTGGCCTGGTAACCATTAGAGTTCTGGGTCCTAAAATGTTTTGTGAGGTGTCACTGTTCCAACTGGCCATTCTAGTTAAAGAAAACAAATAAATAAATCTGGAAATCACTAATCACTTAACTCTTGGCTTTAACTGGCCAGGAATTAGCTGGGAGTAGTGGAGGGTGAAGTAGCAGATTTCAACTGTGCTCATTCAGGCAGGAGTTTTGAGCAAAGAAGTGCTATTTGAAGGCAGGGCTCTCTGAAATAAATTCCTTTTACTGGAATGAACCCCCTTCCAGGTACTGTCTGCCAGATATTATGTGTAACATGTCTGTAGGCATATTATTTACAACCTTTAGAATAACTGTAATAAATGACTTGTACATAGAGGCATACTGGCTATGCAAGTAGTAGGGAAGAAAACATCCCCTGTTAATGAAGTTATAAAGTTCAGCTCTGATGAGAAAAAAGTTTAGGATCTGTATTCCCCATTCCCAGATCTTAACATTGCTGGCGTCTAGAAGCAAGTGTTAGTGATGTTACTTGTTAGAGCAAGGGTTAGTATTACCAAGCCCTTTTCTCTTCCTTTCTTTGTCTTGGGAACAATTGTTTAACTGCAGTTGATGATCTGAGGCGAAATTGGGAACTGACCTAGTTCAGCCTCTGATGCACCATTATCTGTAAGAACAGGCATTGCCGATTGCTGGGAAGCTCTCACCACCAAACCCTTCCAGTGGAGCACGCTCCCTGACCATTCTTTACATTGCAAAGTGCCGTTGTGTGCAGGCAAGTTCTGTGTAAATGGTTCTTGGGATTGCTGCTGCACCAAGTCCTGTAGCAGAGGCACCTCAGCACAACGCTTTCAAAAGGTCGTAGCTAGTGATTTGTATTGCTCTTAAGCCTGAAGGGGCGTTGATTGATTAAAGGGACGCTTAATCTCATTTACAAACGAGGGAACTGTAGGCAGAAGAAAATAAAATAGAAAACCTTCCATCTCCAGTCGGATGCTTTGATATTAGGTGGAAATGGAAGATAGGAACAAACACAAAGCATTACCTTCTCAGGGTCTCATGCTCCAAATAGCATTAAGCGTTGATCCAAGAGTGAAAAATCTGCGCAGTACACAGGCTACTGAAATATTTCAGATCTGCACAAGTTTAATGAAGCTGAGTGTATCCCTAGACAGAAGGTGACAATGTCAATATGAAATCCAAACAGAAAGAAAACCTGCAAGCTGCTTAATGTAGCTGTAACCAAGATAAATGAAAAGGAAAATGTTTTAACAACAAACAGAACTGTGGATAATATGAGAAGTATTCAAGATAAGCAGAGGATATTTTAGAATCAGCTGATTAGTCTAGGTCATGGAAAGATAAAACTACAGTTTATAATTACAGTTGTGATAATGCT